GCATGGGAAATGCTGGCTGGGAAATTCTGGGAGTTGAAGTCCACTCATCTTAAAGTGGCCAAGTTTGGACAACACTGCCCCAAGAGGTCATTTAGAAAAATGAGAGTTGGACTTTTCCATGTCCTTCAATGGTTCTATAAAATGCATGAAAATTAAGAGGGGCAGCTAGGGTAATAGCACTTTGTCCCCAGATCATGCCTCAGATACTTCCTTTGACTACAGTAGTTCAAGAGAACAGGAACAACTGCTAGGCCTCCTTAATTCTCTGGCATGCATCTTTCAGATAATGGTTGCCCCCACAAGCTGCAAATTTTACATCCATATGTTCCTTGCCTGAAAGAAGATTGCTCTGCAAAAGAAATTATGATTCAATTGGCATAGCAGAAGGAGAAAGAGCTCATGTCTCAAGATTTTGCCTACTTGGGGTTTCCAACCTCCCTCACCATCATGATGATGACCATTGATCCAGCGATGATTCTATTGAATCGATTCCGCTTTGGGAAATAGGCCTCCTCCTGTCCAGTAATTGGATTTATAGTTGTCATGGGAGCCATGGCAGAGAACTGGGGTCGTGGACGTTCCTACAACAGGAGGAACATGAATATTCTATGCCAGTTTGGATTTTGAGTTATACTAGAAGTCCTCCAAATTCAGTACCTCAATATCCTCAAAGTCTGAACAGTCCCAGCGATATGTCAGGGTAGCATTCACTCGCTTCCAGTACTCAAGAAATGTGACTGCCCACAGAGACATGAAGATGCTGAAGAACACAGTGCCACCATGATCAAAGAGACGACCAGCCTGGAGGAAGAAGGGAGGGATTGCTGTTGTGCATGTGGCAAGATACTCAGACTGGGAAAGAGAAGTGAGTCAAGTGAGCAAAGCACTTGAATGCAGTGGCTGGACTCACACATTATGCCAACTCATTCTTTTAACCAAATGCTTGCTGAATAGCTGTGTTCAACACACTAAATTATTAAATTTGTTATACATTGGTTAGACTTACACAGTATGCTAAGTCCAAACCAAACTGCCACATTATGGCTTAGTTGATTGAATCCAGTTGGTGTCTTTCTAAACTACCACATACTTGTGTTCCTTCTATTCCTTATATCATATACACTCACTGTACATGGATAACAGAAATGGGCCTACAGTTGTTTGTAGTTTGGCCTCCAAAGCTACAAGTAAACTAAGTTACCTTATGCAGCAAAAACAGCTTGCAAATTGCCAGTGTTGATGCATATGTTAGAATTGCTAAATGGATGGAATCTAAATCATATTGTTTTGGAAGAGGTAGCTAAAAACACAGGCTTGTGGTAATTTTCTCCCATCTACAAATCATATTCAAAGAAGGGAGACTGAGAAAAAAATGATCCACAAGGATATAGCCTAACTGAATTTCAAGCATACCTGAAATCCAACATATTAGGAGGGAACCAGATTAGGAAAGACTGTTTAAACCAATCTCACATGAGCGTTGCTAATGTGAGCCCCCAATGAGAAGATGAAGAGGGAAAGGCATACAGGTTTGTTTATGGAGCGGCTATGCAACTTTAAAGTATGTGTGAAGACTATATATCTGCTTGAATGGGATAGTAGGAATATTGCCCCCCCCCAAACAGAAATGCCACAAGAGTGAATGTAAAAACTACAGGAGTAAGTATGGCAGAGTTCTGACTAAAAGGTAAATAGATGACAATGATCAAGATTGCAAGATTGCACATTGCAAGAATTGCAATGTGGTTGCATCCCAGGGAGGAGTGTGCAGACCAGATTTTTGTTCTTCACCAGGTCAATGAAAAATATATGAATGTCAAAAAGGAAGTTGATTATACATTTGTTGATTTAGATAAAGTGTATGATAAAGTCATAACATTATGACCCCACCTGAAACATAGGGCAGATAGTAGACAGGTTCCAATAAGGGCAGACTTTGCAAAGTGGGCACATCTTGTATTTGTCATCACTGCTACAGATCTCCTGTCTAGTTCAGAAGAAGAGAAAAGAAAAATGGGAGAAAAAAAAAATTAGTATGGTACCAGATTCACACCCCTCCCCCAACATTTCTCTATTGTTTTTGCTT